ACAGCCTCCGCTGGGCCTGACCCCCAGCCCTGGCAGGCAGGAAGAGGAGAGGCTGAGGGTGAGAACGGATGAAACGATCCTGCCGGCTGAAGGGGAGTGGAGCGCACACCCAGTGAGTGTGCAGCCTTGGTTTCACGTCTGTTCCACCCCACAGCACGCCCACAGCACAGAGAAGCCGATTCCTGGTGTTACTGCAGGAGGCACCGCTGTGCTTTCACTGCCAGATCTGACCAGACAGACCAAGGAGCATCTTCCTCCTCGTCCACCTCCAATACCTGTATGACCAAACCAGGCTTCATTCCTTTCACGTCCTCCAGCTCTTGCTTTGTTTCTGCATTTCGTTTACAGAGGCTCAATCTTTGGGGGAAAATGAGCAAAAAAAGAAAGAAGAAAAGAAAAAGGCATTCAATCTCTCTGTGGGTATCTGTAGAAGCCATGGCCCCCAGCACACTGCACACCAGGGGGTCTTTGGTAGCACAGGCCTTGTCCCACACCAGCTCCTCAGAGCCCGAGCACGGCCCCCCGTCGCAGGCCCTGCACAGGGAGAACAGAAGTGCGGCCCTTGCTAATAAGAGCCCCAACCCTGGGGCCTGCTGATCCCGCAGCGTCTCTGTCATTCCCACCCCTGCTGCTGCTCCCACCACCACCAGCTGCTTTGCACTGAGAGGAACGGGGAGGACAAAGACTGGGTTTTGGTCTGGAGCCTTTTCCTTCTCCCCACCCCACTGCCATGGGGAGCTCTGTTCAGGGCACAGCACATGCAGGTGGGACTGGGCAGCCCTTCCCCGGGGGTCAGCCCTTCCTGACACAGGCTGTTCTGCTGCTTTCTCTGGGGCTGCTCCGTGTGCAGAGGGGGTGGGAGATGCGGTCTCACTAATCATCTCTGCATGGAAGCAATATCACCTAAACTCTCCTTGCCGTGTCCTACAGCCCCTCCTCCCGGGCTGCACTAGCACCTTCCCCTACAGCCTGGTTCAGCCGCTCTAAGGAGAGGGTCTCAGCAGCGTAACACACCCTCCATGGGCGGCTTCCTTGTTCCCCACCACGCAGGAATGTTTCCGATTCATGGAATTACTGTATTTATTCCAGTCCAATATGAGGTTGTTTTCCCCGTGCATCGTGGGGAAAGAAGTCCCTTGTCTTAGATTCAAGTAGAGGGAGGGGGGCAGGCTGGGGTGTAGGAAGGGGCTGCTGCAGCTCTGGCTTTGGACCCATGCTGGATGTCCTTAACCATGTCCTAAAAATTTCACTAAAAACTGTGTGGTCACCACACCCAGCAGAGACCCACAAGCACAGCCCCAGGCGTCTCCAGCCAGTCGCCCTATTCCACTGTCCAAACACCAGGACGAAGACACCTCGCCGTGTTGAACGTTCCCAGAGAGACCCTAGCGAGTGCCCGCAGGAAGCGCCATGCTCCTTACCGCAGCGTCTGCAACTTGCAGCTGGGATGTCTCAGTCCCTCGCACAGCAGCCGCACGCCGCCAGCCCCCAGACCACGGTAACCACGCAGGTCCAGCTCCGTCAGGCTGGGACTCATGCTGAGAGCAGCGGCGAGATCCCTACAGCAGGCAGCAGTGAGACAGCAACGCTGCAACCTGGAGGAGAGAGAAGCACGGAGCAGAGTGAGCAGGGCATTGGCAGAAGCTGTGCCAGGCAGCCCCCGCACCCGCCTCTCCTGAAGGACATGAACATGAAGGACTAGGCAGAAAGTTCCACAGTTCAACTTTGAAACTTGGACCTTTCAAAGGGGTGGGTGTGGGTGTGAGAGAGAGAGAGGAGGCACATGGGGTGTGTGAGTGCAGGAGGTGGCACACGGATTTGTCTGTGAGAATGTGAGCAGGCACAGGGAGTGTGTGCATGCATGTATGTGTGTGTGTATGAAGAGGCACAGAAGTGTGTGTGTGTTTGAGATGGCACATAGTTATGTGTGTGTGAGGAGGCACATGGGGGTGTGTAAGTGTTAAAAGGCACAGGGGGAGTGTACATGCATGCATGTGTGTGTGCATGAAGAGAGGTGTGTATAGATGTGTGAGAGAGAGAGAGGAGGCAAGCAGGTGTGTCATGTGTGTGTGTTTGGGAGTAGGCACTGGGCTTTTTCATGTGTACGTGAGGAGTTACAGGGTATGTGTGTGTTTGTGTGTGTGTATTTGTGTGAGAAGAGGAACATGTGGGGGTGAGGAGGCACATGGGTTTGTATGTGTGAGAAGGCACAGGGTGTGTGTGCATGCATTTATTTGTGTGTGTATGAAGAGGCAAAGAATTGTGTGTATCTGTGTCTCTGTGCAAGTTTGAGTGTGTGCATGCATGTATGTGTGTGTGTGTTTATGTGTGAGAGAGAGAGCAGGCACAGGAGTGAGTGCGTGCATGAATGTGTGTGTGTATGAAGAGGCACAGAGGGGTGGGTGGGTGTGTGTGAGGAGGCATAGGGTTGCATCCATGTGTGTGTGTCAAGAGTCACATGAGGCGGGGGTGTGTGTGTGTGTCTGTGAGAGAGGCACAAGGATGTGTTGTGTGTGTGTGTGTGTGTGTGTGTGTTTGTCAGGAGGCACCGGGCTGTGTGCATGTGTGTGTGTGTGTGTGCAAAATGAGCACTGGCGTGTTTCTGTGTATGTGAGGAGGCACGGTGGGGTGTCTGTGAGTGTATGAGGAGGCACAAGGGTGTGTCTCCATGCCTGTATGTGTGTATTTGTGTATAAATAGGCACACAGGTGTGTGCAAGGAGGCAGAGGGGTGTGCCCATATATGTCTGTGAGTAAGCATACGGGTGAGTATGTGTGTTTTTGTATGTTTATATCTCTGGGACATGGGTGTGTTTGTGTGTGAAGAGGCACATTGGTTTGTGTGTGTGAGTGTGAGGAGGTACAGGGTGTGTGTGCATTCATGTATGTGTGTGTCTGAAGAGGGGTGTATGTGGATGTGTGCATGTCTGTGTGTGTGAGAGAGAGAGCAAGCGGAGGAACTGGGTTGTGTCATGTTTTGTGTAGGCAGTGGGCTGTGTGTGTGTGTGTGTGAGAGGAGGCACATGGGTGTGCATGTAGGCACATGGGTGTGTGTGTGCAAGTATGAGCAGGGACGGGGTGTGTGCGTGAATCATAGAAGTTGTGTCGGAAGGGACCTTGCAGATCTTCAAGTCCGACCCCCAGCCTGGGCAGGAGGAAAACTGGGCTCAAGTGACCCCAGCCAGATAGGCATCGAGCCGCTTCTTAAAGACCCCCGGGGTAGGAGCCAGCACCACTTCCCTTGGAAGTTGGTTCCAGATCCTAGCCTCCCTGACTGTGAAGTAGTTCTTACGGATGTCCAATCTAAACCTACTCTCCAACAACTTGTGGCCGTTATTCCTTGTTATCCCGGGGGGTGCCAGGGGAAACAAGGTCTCTCCCAAACCCTTCTGGTCCCCGCTAGTGAGTTTATGGACGGTCACCTGATCCCCCCTCAGCCTTCTCTTGTGAAGGCTGAACAGGTTCAGGTCCCGTAGCCTCTCATTGTAGGGTCTGCCCTGCTGTCCCCGGATCATGCGGGTGGCCCTCCTCTGGACCCTCTCAATGTTGTCCACATCCCTCTTGAAGTGGGGTGCCCAGAACTGGACACAGTACTCCAGCTGTGGTCTGACCAGTGTCACGTAGAGGGGGAGGATCACCTCCTTGGCCCTACTTGAGATGCACCTGTGGATGCACGATAAGGTCTGGTTAGCCCTGCCGACAGTGACCTCACATTGTCGGCCCGTGTTCATCTTGGAGTCAATGATGACTCCAAGATCCCTTTCTGCCTCCGTGCTCTCAAGAAGGGAGTTTCCCATCTTATAAGTGTGCTGCCGGTTACTACTGCCCAAGTGCAGCACCCTGCACTTGTCTGTATTGAAACACATCCTGTTTTTGTTAGCCCACCCCTGCAACCTATCCAGGTCTTGCTGCAGTCTTTCCCTCCCTACATGCGCGCCCACCTCATCCCAGATTTTGGAATCATCAGCAAATTTTAACAGGTTGCTTTTCACCCCGTCGTCCAAATCGCTGATAAAGAAATTGAACAGCGCGGGCCCAAGGACCGAGCCCTGGGGGACTCCGCTGCCCACTTCCCCCCAGGTCGAATATGACCCGAATGTATGTGTATGTGCATGAAAAGGCACAGACGTGTGTCTCTGTGTGTGTGTGAGCGTGAAATGCAGCACTGGGGTGTGTCTGTGTGTGTGTAGGCAGCAGGCTGTGTGTGTGTGTGTGTGCGTGTGTGTGTGTGTGTGTGTGTGAGAGAGATGAAGCACCTGGGTGTCTGCATGTGTGTAGGCACACGGAGGTGCGAGTGTATGACCAGGGACAGGGGGTGTGCATGTGTATGTATGTGTGTCCTTGAAAAGGCACAGACGTGTGTCTCTGTGTGTGCATGTGAGTGCGAACTGCAGCACTGGGGTGTGTTGTGTGTGTGACAGGAGGCACACACACATGTGGGCTGTGTGCACATGTATTCAAGGAGGCAGTGTGTGCATGTGTGTGTGTTGTGTGTGTGTGTGTGTTTGCCTGTGTGGGTGGGTACACGAGGAGGCACGGATAAGTGTGTGTGCTTGTGTGTGCGTGGGGATGCCCATGGTTGCATGTGTGAGGAGGCACACATGTGTGTGTGAGTGTGAGCAGGCACATGGGTGTGTGCATGCATGCATGTGTGGGCATATAAAGAGGCACAGAAGTGTGTGTGTGCATGCGGAGGACCAGGGGTGTGTGAGAGGAGACACAGGGTAGCATTCACATGTGTGTGTGAAGAGGCATGGGGGCTGTGCACATGTGTGTGTGTGTGTGTGTGTGCATGTGCGTGCACGTGCATAGTGCACCCCATCCTGGATTTCCTCAACTGCGTCCTGGATTTCACTACTAATTGTACGCTCCCCACACCCAGCAGAGACCCACAAGCACAGCCCCAGGCGTCTCCAGCCAGCCGCCCTATTCCACTGTCCCAACACCAGGACGAAGACACCTCGCCGTGTTGAACGTTCCCAGAGAGACCCTAGCGAGTGCCCGCAGGAAGCGCCATGCTCCTTACCGCAGTGTCTGCAACTTGCAGCTTGGATGTCGCAGTCCCTTGCACAGCAGCCGCATGCCACCAGCCCCCAGACCACGGTTATCGCTCAGGTGCAGCGCCGTCAGGCTGGGGCTGGTGCTGAGAGCAGCGGCGAGATCCCCACAGCAGGCGGTGTGAGACGGCAACGCCGCAACCTGGAGGAGAGAGAAGCACGGCGCAGAGTGAGCAGGGCATGAACGAGGCCATGGCAGAAGCTGTGCCAGGCAGCCCCCGCACCCGCCTCTCCTGAAGGACATGAACATGAAGGACCAGGCAGAAAGGTCCATGGTTCACCTTTGAAACTTGGACCTTTCAAAGGGGTGTGTGTGTGTGTGTGCGCGCACGTGTGTGCTTGTGTGAGAGAGAAAGGAGGCACACAGGGTGTGTGTGTGCATGAGGCGGCACACAAATGTGTCTGTGTGAATGTGCGCAGGCACAGGGAGTGTGTGCATGCATGTATGTGTGTGTGTACGAAGAGGCACAGAAGTGTGTGTGTGTGTGAAATGAGACACAGAAGTGTGTGTGTGTGTGTGTGTGTGTGGTGGCACATTGTGTGTGTGAGCAGGCACATAGGGTGTGTGAGTGTTAGAAGGCACAGGGGGAGTGTACATGCATGCATGCGTGTGTGTGTGTGTGTGTGTGTGTGTGAAGAGGGGTGTGTATAGAAGTGTGAGAGAGAGAGGGAGAGGAGGCAAACAGGTGTGTCATGTATGTGTTTGGGAGTAGGCACTGGGCTTTTTCGTGTGTATGTGAGGAGGCACATGGTATGTGTGTGTTTGTGTGTGTGTGAAAGGAAGAACGTGGGGGATGAGGAGGCACATGGGTTTGTGTGTGTGAGTGTGAGAAGGCACAGGGTGTGTGTGCATGCATTTATTTGTGTGTGTATGAAGAGGCAAAGAAGTTTGTGTATCTTTGTGTGTATCTGTGTGTCTGCGCAAGTTTGAGGAGGAAAAAGTGGTGTGTATGGAGTATAAGCATGCACAGGGGGAGGGTGCATGCATATATGTGTTTGAATGAAGAGGCACAGACGTGTGCGTGTGTGTGAGTGTGTTCATGCACAAGATGCAGGACTGGGGTGTGTCTGTGCATGTGTGTGAGGGAGGAGGCACTGGGCTGTGTGCATGTGTATTCAAGGAGGCACAGGTGAGCGTGTGTATGTGTGTGTGGATGTACATTTTTGTCCGTGTGTGTGAGGATGCACATGGGTTTGTGTGTGTGAGTGTAAGGAGGCACGGGGGGGTGTGCATGTAGTATGTGTGTGTGTGTGTGTGTGTGTGTGTGTGTGTGTGTGAGAGGAGGCACACACGTGTGTGTGTGAGTTTGAACAGGCACTGGGTGTGTGTGTGCATGAATGTGTGTGTGTGTGTGTGTGTGTGAAGAGGCACAGGGATGCATCCACATGTGCATCAAGAGGCACATGGGTGTGTGTGTGTGTGTGTGTGTGAGAGAGAGAGAGAGAGAGAGAGAGGCACAAGGATGTGTTGTGTGTGTGTTTGTCAGGAGGCACCAGGCTGTGTGCATGTGTGTGTGCGTGAGACAAGCAGTGGAGTGTTTCTGTGTATGAGGAGGCATGGGGGGTGGTCTGTGAATGTCTGTGTGTGTGTG